ACAAAAACCAACAATATGATATTCAACTTTGAACATAATCTGTTAAATTGCGCCGATATAATCTAATCTTAATGTAACAATGTAAAAAAAAAATAGATTATCGGTTGAAATAATAACATGGGTTTCATTACGTAATATAAATTTATAAATAAATTTATTTATAAAAATATTTTTACATTTTATAAGTATGGCTCGTGGACCACCAGTGGTCCGCGGACCATAAGTTGGGAACCTATGTTGTAAACCATTATAGGGGCCCTTTCATGTTAGCTGCTCCATCGAACGAGCAACCTATAATTTTAGAAATATCTAAAGTTAATTTATGAAATTTACTTCAAATTAAATCATATAAACTTTTTCCACTAGAGTCATAAACTATTATCAACTCTAAAAGTTTTTCATGGACTTCATTATCTAAAACATATCTAACACAGATAGCAAGCTGGTTAACAACAGAAACATCTTGTGTAGAATCTACCATAATACTAAACATTTTAGCTTGTTTTATATCATTTATTATTTTATCTTGTATTATTTGACCAATTATTAAAATGAGTTTGTTTATAAAAGTTTTAGATAAAAAAGTAACCAATGAACCCCTTTCATGGCCATTAACTTGATTAGAAATGTTAACATTACATAATTCTTTTTCTTTCGCTATTGCTTAAATGAATACTGTTTTGTGTATGTTCGTTCAAAACTATATCATAATCTTTTATTAACCAGATTAATTCTAAAAAGTATCCATGGTTGACAGATTTATCTTCTAAATTATAAACAACCTCATCTTTACCTTTATATGATTAACCTTGTCTACCAATGAATGTTATATTATCAATGAGTCATTTAATTACTAAACGTTTACATTTAATTTCTTTTAAATTAACTTTTTTAACATCAATATTGATAGAACTACCAATATCATTTTTTAAATTTGCTTGAAGTAAAGAAGAAGCTGCTGCATAGTGATTTTTAGATATTTCATGTTTTTTAAATGTACCATATAGACTTTTTGGATTACCCACTAACAATCCATTTATTAAATTATTAACATTTTCCTGAGAATTACCAAAAGTCATACAAGTAGTACAAAATATTTTTTTATTATATGAACAATAAGACAGCCATTTTCTATAAATTTTATCATTATTACTTATTATTTAAAAGTAAACCTTATTCCGATCAAAAGGAATTTTATCATCCAAATCCAAAGAGACTGGTTGAATTGGATGATTTTTTAGGAAAGCCAATTTTACTTTTACTGAACTTTTGTGATCCGGCATGATAAAAAATACAACATTACCAATAACAGAAGTAGAGTTTGATTCTTGTTTAGAAGATTCTTCATCTTCATAACTTGTTTTCGGTATATACTTTTCGATTTTTGCAGTTGAAGTATAATTGTATTTGTTTTGATCTGAAGCAACTGGTAAATCCGGTTCACAAATTGTATCTGTCTTTTTTCTTCTAATGAATACACCATTTATGTAAATAAATTAAATATTTTTATGAAATTAGAATACAATAATGTACAATATAATATAACTAATTATACTTCTGACTCAGACGAAATGGTAACATTGTCTTCATTTGAAAATTCATAGTAAACGTTAGAGTTGATATTTGTATTTTTGACTCCTTTTGAAAACGACAACTTTTTTTGTTTCGGATCAGAACCGGCTTTGGCTAACATTTTTATTCTTTTAGTCGCCGTTTTTCTGCACCACATTTTAATTTGGTACTCATGTTTACAGTATAACAAATAAAAGTTATAAAAAGAACAAAATAACAGGCGTAGTAGAAAGCAATCGTCAACAGGACATGTGCAGATGTGCGGCGTGCCAGTAGTGTAATATTTATGTTATGTTATTGCATTAACTAATGAGAATATAACAATAATAATACCTATCTACTATCAGTAGTTATCAGTAATATGATCTTAATATAGACCTAAATTCGACTAAACAAATAAAACCATTCGAATATACAGATGGACAATAATTATCACTTACCCCCAAAGCAACACGGGAAAAAACGATTTTACAATAAAACTATATAATATATAATATAAATATTATAAATTTTGTGAAGACAAAACCATTTTATCGATAGCGGTTCGACTGCATGACGTAAAGAATATTTGATATTTATACTAAAACCTATTTATTTCCTAAATAAAAAGGTATCCGTGCAACAACGGTCTAAATATTTTCAGACCACTGTACCGCAATAAGGAGTCCTTCAATGTTAAGACATGGTTAAATACAGTTAAATTAATTAAATTATAATATCATATACAATTTTAAAATATGAACATTGAACATGAAGTTTGGGGGCCCAGTATGCGATCGGCGGACCTACGGTCCGGGCCAGTCCGACCCTGTTTATATATATACATTATTACAATGTATTATACATTTATTTAGTGCTAGATCATTTATGAAATGTTGATATCAATCAGTGGATTGTTAGGTTATGTTAGAATTTTAAATAGCATACGACTAACTTATTTAAAATAAACTTTTTATTATTAGTGAATATCAGTATAAAAATTATACTGATTTTTGCTATTTAGATACTTTGTAATGGGAAGATAAAACTAAAATACCGTGAAATCATAATCTACCAAAATTAAATGAAACTCATATTTTAAATATCCGATATTTTATGACTTTTAAAAACTAATAAATGAAAAAATGTAGATACTAAAAAAAAAGATACTTACAAAAGATACTTGTTTTTGATACTTAGGATGTACACATTTTTCATTATCGTTTAACATTTATTGGAAAAAAAAATAAAAATTTTTTATCAACATTTTACTATATTAAATGTTTTCAAACATTATCATTAATTATGTTCATACTTTATAAATAAGTATAAAAATGGATAAACAGCTTATTTTTTTTTTAACATGATTTTAACTTTTCATTCCTTTTTATTGTATTGTACCAATGCAGTTAATCCAATAAATACATAAGAATTGAAAAAATGGTGTACAGATGTTTCACAAAAGCTTTTCGATAAGGTAAATTAATCAACGTAGTTTTTTTTAAATATTGCCGTGATAAATGTATGCAGGAATGTACTTACTTTTTATTGATATCAATATTATTTTGTATCAACTGGTGCGCGCCGCCGAACCAAAACCAGTCGCGCAAGCGGTATGTTTTCTTTTGAAAAGAAGTAGGTATACAAATCTTCAAATTTTTAATGTTCGAAGACATAAAGTTTAGAAATATGAAGGACTCTGAGTTAGTTAACCATATGTTTTTGTAGAATTATTTACTAAAAATCAACATGTCAGCTTAAAAATTGTTTTACGAGTATCAAGAATAATGGCTGCAAAACATCGTCTGCAGATTTAGAATAATTACTTAGAATTAAAAACTTCTCAAAGAACAATAATCCAAGAAAAAACGGATACTCAAATAAAAAAACTTTTTTATTTATTCACTATAACAAGCCAGCAAGTGACGCAACTCGCAAGTAAGTTGGGAAAGTAAAACTTTGAAATCCCCAGATTTATTGGGTGACCGTGCTGAAGAATAAATGGTCACCCAGACTGACAAACCGCAAGCTATTACAAGGCCACAAGCAGAGGTCAAGTATTCAAAGCTGCTAGAAGATACCTTTACATGCTTAGAGGTGCTTGAAGCATCAGTTGCTGCTGCACCTAATACGAAACTGGACATAAAGAACGGCACCAGGTCGCTTGGCAAATGTTTCAGGGAGTTCACCAAAATAGCTAAGGCCATCGGAATGGTAAGGTCCCCGGGGGTTATAGAACAACGCTTGCGGGTATTACAACAGCAGCACCAACATCAACACCTCCAAATGTTGGAAAAGATCAAAGAACTCCAGGAAGACAACCACCAGTTGCGAAGAAGCCTGAAGCAGTCACATAAGTCACCTGATACTTCGCTTACACAAGATTGCCAAATCTCCGTGGCCTTAACAGAGGTCTGAGAAACGCTAAAAAACCAAAGCGAAGCAATCCCCATACTGACTCTACAGATAGAAAAACAAAAACAACAACAACATTTACAGCAGCAACGGCACTAACAACAGCAGTGGCAACCCCAGCTGCAAAAACAGCAGCGGCAGCGACAGCATCTGCAACAGCCCCTGCAACCGGATCAAACGGTGAGTTGTGATCCCTCCAGCATGAACCGACCTCAACAGCAATGGGAACAGAAGCAACCAGAGCAGCAGCAGCAAAATCAGCTGGAGCCTGTAGCTGTAGCAGAGACTGGATGTGTACCTGTCGTGGATAGAGACTCTGAATGGACTGAAGTAACTAAGAAAGGCATGAAAAAGAAACTAGCCAAAGAAGTACCGAATGCATTTATTGTAAAGGTAAACGAAGATAAGACCTATGCAGATACGCTAAGAAATCTGAAGAAAGGACTTGTTGATGCTGGGCTAACGGACGAAATAGGAATGACGAAGAAAACCGCGAGCGGAGATCTCCTATTACAGATGAGTAAAAGAATAAACAAAACTACGCAGGTGAGAGACATAGTAGAGAAAATAACAGGAACCGAAACACACCATAAAACGAATAACGTAGCAGTGGAGATACGTGGTCTTGACGCAGATGCAACACCGGAAGAACTCGCAACGGCAATATCGGAAAGAGCAACGATTCAAATGACGACGGAAAACATCAAAGCGATCAAGTCCGACTTCCAAGGGAAAGCAACAGCTGTGGTTCTGCTTCCTGCCAGAGTTAAGAATTAACTAGCTATGGGTCCACGGTTGCGTGTCGGCTGGGCAGTATGCTCAATAAAAATACGCATACCTATGAATAGATGTGCTCGTTGCCTGGATTTCGGCCACTGAAAGAACACGTGCACTGGACCAGATCGTTCAAGTACATGTATCAACTGCTGGAAAACTGGGCACACACGAAAGGACTGTGATGCAGAGGCATGGTGTGGCCTATGTGAAGAAGATGGTGTAGAAGCATCGGGAAACCACTTCTCTGGTAGTGGGAGATGCGCAACATTCAGGCGATTCCTAGAGAACAGCAGGAAGACGCGATGATGAGAATATTACAAATAAACCTCAACTGCTGCAAGGTGGCACAGCAGTTGATGCTCCAAATCGCCACCGAAAAGAAGGCTGACGTTTTAATCATATGTGAGCAGAACGCTACACCGCCCCATTGGTACGCGGATAAAGACGGGAAAACTGCAATAGCAATCCATCAGGGCACTGCACTAGAAGAAACTGACGACACGGATAGGGGCTATGTGTGGGTGAGGATAGGAGGGGTCCGAATATACTCATGCTACATTTTGCCAAACATAACGATAAACGAGTATATAGAGTACTTAGAGCGGCTAGAAAGTAGTATGCGGAGCGGATCTAGAGAAGTTATACTAGCCGGAGACTTCAATGCTAAGAACCTTGAGTGGGGATCGATAACTGATCAAAGAGGCGACGAGCTCGCAGCCTTAGCTGCTTCTCTGAACCTGATTGTATGCAACATTAGAAGAACACCCACGTTCGAAAGAGCATCAAGCCATTCCATCCTTGACCTGACGTTTGCATTGCCAATCACGGCACGACAAATGGTAGACTGGAGCGTACTAGATGAGGAAACAAGAAGCGACCATAAATACCTCTTCTACAGAATTGGATCTAATCCGGAGAGACATCCCGATGGTCCCACGGGGTGGTGCCGCAAGAATGTTGACCAGGGAAAACTTAAAGAGTATCTAGATGGCAAGCAACTACCAAGAAATGCACACGACTTAATGGAGAACATCAGGGGAGCGTGCGATGCTGTCATCCCGAGAATAAATCCAACACGCGGTTACCACAAACCGCAATACTGGTGGACCAACGAAATCTCAGAGCTAAGGAGGGCATCACTAACTGCCAGAAGATGGTATCAAAAAGCAGCAATGAAAGGTCTGTCTGAAGAAGAAAAACAACTTTTCAAGACAGCTAGGAAAACACTGTGATTGGTAATAAGGCGGAGTCAAGAGGCCTGCTGGAGGAACCTGTGTGCTGAGGTCGACCGCGATCCATGGGGGACGCCATACAGAACAGTGATGAAGAAGATTGGGAAATTACCGGCAATCCCCACAAACATTATTCCTGCCATAATTGCGGAGCTATTCCCGACCCACCCGATAATCGAAGAAGAAGACGTACAACAGCTAACAATGCCAATACCCGCAGTCACACTCCAGGAATTAGAACTGGCAAGTACTAGACTGTACCCAGAGAAAGCCGCTGGGCCAGACGGTACACCGAACGAGACGCTGAAAGTGGCAGTCAAGACGCATCCAAAAAATTTTCAGGGAGTCTATGGGCCGTGCATGATAGACGGACGGAGTGATCCCAAAACCATGGAAGCAAGCGAGACTGGTGTTACTGCGTAAAGGGGACAAACCAACAGAGCAGCTATCGAGTTACCGCCCGCTATGTATGCTAGACACAACAGGGAAGCTATATGAGAGAATACTCTGTAACCGCATAGAGGAAGCTATGATCAGAGAGAAAACTGCACTAGCGGAAAACCAGTACGGATTTAGGAGAGGTCGCTCGATGGTGGATGCTATTGGCAGAGTTATGTCGGAGATAGCAGTCACCGGAGCAGGGACGCTACGCCAAATTCAACTGTGTGTGCTGATTACGATTGACGTTGCCAACGCCTTCAACTCGGTGCCATGGTGGGCAATAATGCAGGCAATGATCAATAAAAAAGTACCTGAATATCTAGTGAGGGTCATGAGAAATTATTTATGTGACAGAGAGATAATCCACGGCAAAGGTCACGATGCGATGAAATTAACTAGTGGAGTACCGCAGGGATCTGTACTTGGTCCGCTCTTATGGAGCATAATGTACGACAGCTTGCTGACCACAAGAATGGCGGAGGGGATA